TTCCTCCTTCTTCTTCCTCCTCTTCTTTCTCCCCTTCTTCCTCCTCCTCTTCTTCCTCTCCTTTTTTTCCCTCCTCCTCCCCACCTCCTCCTGCTTTTTTTCTTCCTCTCCTCCTCCTTCTTCCCCTTCTCCTTCCTATTATTATTATTTTCCTCCTCCACCGCCTTCTTCCTCTTCTTCCTCCTTCTCCTCTTCTTTGTCTTCTTCCTCTTTTTACTCCTTGTCCTTCCCTCCTCCTTTTGCTTTTTCTTCTTCTCCCCTTCTCCTCCTCCTTCTTATCATTATCATCATCATTTTCCTATGCCTCCCCTTTCTTCTTCTTCCTCTTTCCCCTTCTTCCCCTTCTTCCTCCTCCTGTTAGTCCTTCTGCCTCCCCTTAGTCTTTTTCTTCTTCCCCTTCTCCTCCTGCCTTCTTTTTCTTCCTTTTACTCCCCTTCCTCCACCTTCTTCTACCAGTTCTACTGATTATGGCCCCACCCTTATGACCTCATTTAACTTTAATTACTTCCTAATGGCCCCATCTTTAGATGTAGTCACATAGGGGTTTACATAGGAATTTTAGGAGGACATAATTCAATACATACTAATTGTTGTGCTCTGTTTAAAGAAAATGTGATGTATAAAAATCTACACATAAAATTAATCATTCACATTATAAAAGGGAAAGAACTAGATGCAGGATCTGTTGGCTAGGAACTTTGTATACATTGCCATGTTTTATCATCCATCACAGTAACTGTGAGAGGGTATTATTCCTATTTTATAGAAGAGGATATTGAAGCCAGGGAGAGTGGTGACGTTAACTTTGAACCTTAGATCTGTCTCTCCAGTCTTCATGTTCTTGTCAGTGTTTCCCCATGAACGGAGCTTTTATTTCCAAAAGCAGTCACTTTCTGGATCCCTTTAAAAAGTATGTTCCCTTTGTGTATTTTAAAATTTTTACTTTGCACGTTCCTTTCTATTCATCTTTATATATGTAAAGTATCTTCTACTGCATGAACTTTCACATTTTGAAATGTGTTTATAGAAACAACTCGTAGTGTTTCTGGTTGGGGAGATAAAATGAAATTAAATATGTGGGAGACGCTTTGAAATTTATGAAGGACATAAGCTTGTGTTATAAATATAATCATTTAGTTATAGCTATAAGAAGATTCTAAGAAATGTTTGAAAGCAAGCACTTAAATGATCATTTATTGACTTACTAAAAACCGTTAGATTTTATAGTAGACTATAAACAGAAGTCTATTTTGCCGCCCTTCTTCATAGCAGATTGTATAATGCTGTATATGCAAGTTGTAATTTCAGATATAGTCAACATTAGAATAAAAATGACTAAATGAAGGAGCAAATGAATGAGTCTTGCTAGTGCACTATACTGTATTTCCCTTTCAGTGTATGTGCTCTTTTATGTATCCAGGAATATCTTTAACAGTGCTAGACTTGCAGAGGAGAAATCTTTAACCTGAGGCCTACAGGCCCCGAGAAGATTGTGAAATCGAGTGAAAAATAGTTTTTTTTAATTTCAATATTTTCGTTGATATTTGTAATTTTTTCCTATAAAATTAAAGTATTTTTTCACTTCAGGTAATGGATGTGTCTATATTCCAACAAAATTTAATTTACGTAAGGCAGTGGTAGGCAGGATTTGGCCCTCAAGCTGTGCATTTTGCTAAGTCCTGATGTAGAACAAAAGGGGGGAGGGAAAAGAGAAATTGTAATCACCTTCCTATTAGGAAGGAGGGGAAGGAGGAGGGTACACAATTTAATCTTTGGAGAAAGGCAGCCATCCTTCTTGGAGAAGAGTTGATTGATCTTTTGATTTTAGAAGGATTAGAATAAAGAAGAGTCAAACAGTTCTGCACAATGAAAAGGGTGGGTTTTTTTAGGTAGAGAAGTTACTTAATTTCTCTAGAGGAATGGTGATGTAAGAAAAAGGACTGTGGCTTTTCATCTGAGCGAGGATGGTAGTAGAGAAGTATGAGAGGGAATTATGCACATTCAACAGATATGTATTAAGCACTCACTATGTGCCAGTTTTTGATGGTAGGGATATATTTGTGCATTTATATGCCTACATTCAAACTGAGGGAGACCCAACAAAGAAAAAATAGTATAGTATGTTAGAAAGTAATAAGTGTTCAGAGAAAAGAAACAAACAATAGAGTGGTATGGGTAGAGGGTTGCAATTTTAAATAGTGTAGTATGGGACACTGAGGAAAAGACCTGAAGGAAGTGAGAAATCAAGTCATGCAGATATTTAGGAGCCCATGTTCCAAGAAAAGAAACGGGTAGTGCAAAAGTCTGAATTGGAATATGTCTGTTTTGTAAAAGAATAGCAAGGAGATCAGAGTGGCTACACATGGTGAGTGAGGTGAGGTGGTGTTGGAGGAATAATGGGAAACCAGATCATGGATGGCCATTGTGATGACTCACTTTTACTAGGTTGTGATAGAAAGATTTTGAGCAGGTGATCATTGATCTTATATTGGTGTAGAACCACAGTGGTTGCTGTATTGAGAATGTTGAAAATAGACTAATGCCTATCCTTGGGCCAGTAACTCAGACCAAGACAATCAGACACTATAATTTTGAGGTCTGGGTCGTACACTTTCACGTAGGGCTGGGAGATTGGTTCTTTAATTAACTGTTTCACCACAACTACCTGCGATAGGAGAGGTGTAGTGTCTCCCCAAAAGTAGGGGCTCCTCCAAGGAGTGGGAAGAGATGTTGGATAGATATACAAGCATGCAAATCTGTTTTTAGCTGTTAATTATCTGTGTCTTCCACTCAGCTGCAAACAGTCTATAACTGCAGGGGTGTGTCCTACTCATCCCTGTATCACCTATGTATAGCCCAGCACCTCTTGGCACTAAGAAGTCGATCAATACAAAGAGACTCCTTTGTGAGGGGTGGTGAGGTGAGTTGAGGTGGAATGTACATGAAAGCTGCTAAGAGGCATGGATGTGGCCTATGGTCTAGGTCCCTCACCTTCTGCGTAGCTGTTGCCAGAGGAAACCAGTACTGAAGACATCAGGGCACATGCTTCTATCCATGATCCTGAACTAGTGCTACAGGTAAGGTGATCATGTCATCTTAGGATACTCGATATTTCTAAATCAGATGAATAGGTCTTTCAGGAGGAGGAAGAAGCAGAGAAGTTGGAGAGAAAAGGAAGGGGCTACTATAGAGATATGACCACTGAAAAGTTACTAGGGAGCACAAAGACTGATGTTGATTTTTTCCTTTTCAAATAACCACAAAACCAAGAAAAGGTATATGGAATGTGGCCCAAATATTAAATAATTAAGAGAAGTGCATGAAAGATGCGCCTAATAGGGTGGCAGGTGAGCTGAGTACCATAGGGACAGAGAGTGGCATTACTAAAGCATTTCAGACCATCGAGTTGCACCAAGTGCTCAAAGTTTTATAATTCACTGATATTTCTAATAGTTATACATTTTTTCTCCCTGTTTGGTACCTCTGGAATTAAGCTTATGGCTGCTGTCTAGTGGAGGTTAGCAGTTGTCTCAGCTGTGGTATCGAGTGCACTAGTGTCTCTTGACTAGCTTTAAAGAATGAGTAGTAATTTAGTACATTGAATAAAATTTACCTCAATAAAGGAAGCAAATCCTGCTAAAGGGGGCAGCTCTCTGGAGCAGCTCAGTCCCTGTCTCACTGCTTCACTAATTCATTTTTACTTTAAACTCTGTGCTGGCTTGCATTTGAATTCTTTCCTGTGTGAAGGAAAAAACCCACAGTGGATTGCGGACCCTTGGGTCCCTGGTTTCCCCAGAATTCTGGCATCACTGTGGCAGGACTTCAGTCTAAATCCTAGTACCTGTGAATGTGAAGTTATTTGGAAACAGGTTTTGTGCAGATGATTCAAATAAAATCGTTAGAGTGGGCATAATCCAATATGACTGTGTTCTTACAGGAAGAAAATTTACACTCAGAATCAGACATGTACCGAGATAAAAGGAAATATAAAAACATTTCCGATGCATGAGGAGGGTACCATTTATAAGGCAAGGAATTCCTGAGTCTACGAGAAGCTAGGAGAGAGGGCTGCAACAGATTATCTCTCAAGCTCTTAGAAGGAACCCACCCTGCCAATTTGATCTTGGACTTCAAACCTCCTGAACTCTGAGATGAAAAATTCTGTTGTTTAGGCCACCCAGTTTATGGCACTTTGTGACAGTAGACCCATGAAATGAATCAGGGACCTCTCCTAATTTTGGCAAACCCAGTCATTTATCCATGGGACTACATATACCCGGAGGGAGCAACTTTTTCTAATGGGCAGCCAGCTATTAGCATAAGCTTTCTTCTGTCAGCTTATTGTTCCAAACTGCTGAAGGTGGCTCTGCCACCAAATTGATTTAATGTGCCTGATTGATCAAAGTCTATTGTGTCGTCCATTTGCTCGAAGATTCTTAGATGCACAACCATTCAGATAAATTAATTAAAATCCCCAACACTAACTTGGACATGTTTTATTTTTAGGAAACCATTACAGGCCTCAAAACAGTTTCTACATTTGATTCTTTACACGAAGAGTCAGAAAATTTAGTATTCTTACTTAAAATATTCTGTGTTTACTCTTCTCGCCTACCTAAAAATTACATGCATTTTTCTTTTCATTTTTTGGGTGAGAAGGGGAATGGGGACGGTGATCAGACAGGAAGCAGCCTATGGTCAAGGGAAATGATACCAGTGATCAACTGTCAGAGTCTCCTTCAGTCATATTGTCTTGGGTTATAGCTGTTCACTTGAGAGAAGAAGTAACTACGAAAGACAAAGAGCGCATCTCCAGTTTCATTGTTTGGAATCTACAATTGCAAAGTGTTTTGAGGTCATTTCTTTAACCACTGCACAATACATGTACAACACATATTTAGAAAAGTTAGAAAAATGTTCTTTAAAGTTTGTGCTCCAGTAGGATTTATCCTATTTTATTAGATCAAGCATAAAAAAATATTCTCCAAAATAACTTCTAATTTTTCTTAAAATCTTGACATTAGTTTATTTACAGCTAATGTGTATATACATAGAATTGAGGATATTATTGCAACAACCTTTATGCAGAGGTTATGAAACTAAAAAAATATGTATTTTGTATTAAGAGTACTTAATATTTGTAAACATTCAGAAACATTCATTCTCCAAACCTCTAGCTGCTGTTTACTCATTATTTTTATTCCAACTTTTTATTATGCATAAATATATTTGGAAGTGTGTCTATATCATAGACAATGGGTTTCACACACTTAACATGCCTGAGTGATCAATGACCAGACATGGGATATTCCAGTCTCCCAGAAACTCCTTCCATACTCCCTTATCGTCCACAAAAGTTTCAGTTTGGTTTTATTTTGTGGTCATTGCAGGTGTTCTTTTTGGGGGGATGATGGGTGGGAATGCTTACTATTTTTTAAGGTGAAGGTTTCCATTTATCCTTTATGCAGTGCTGAGCAGGTTCACATCCTCCCCCTACCACCTTAAGCAAGTAGTTTGTTCTTTGGGCATATATCACCTCATCATTCTGGGTGTTTCCTGAGCACCCACTCAGAGGGACTCACTCCCCGGTAGGAGTTCTTACACCCAGATTTGAGAATGACTTAAGAGTAATTGTTCAGACTAGGAGGCAGAGCTGACCTCAAACTTTTGTTGTATACCATTTTTTAAAATCAACTCTTGTCTCCCCTCTGTGTTTTCCATAACTGGGTGGGGGTGGGGTGGGGGGTGTGTGTGAGAGAGAGAGAGAGAGAGACTAGAATAGGTACAGTGCTGGCACTTGCTGGGAAGGGCCAGGTGCAGGTTTAGCATTATCACTTGTCTTAGAAGGTTCTGTTCTCATGGCACCCTAAAGTTAAGGTGGGAGGAGGAAAGAACATAGAGGCAGAACTGATGGAATCTCATAAAATCATTAACAATACCATGTGTCAGGCACTATGCTGTTACTCCCTAGCAAATATCTATTTAACAAATCTAAATGTCCTTTAGCTCTTTCTGTTCAATAATGTAAGTTGGTCCTGGGTGCCCTCCTTCCTTTCTCTTACTCCCTGACCCTTGATCTGGCCTGTTCCATTGTCTGCTGTATCATTTGTTCCTTGACTCATCAAAAGCACACAGGTGGCACAAGAGAGAATACTACCCTTTGTTTAGTCCATTAAACATGCTACAACAACAGGAGCTAAAAAGGAAAAAAAAATAGAGATGAGATTAAGTAGAGACTTGTCATCCAAGAGCTTGGAGCTATTGATAATTACCAAGACAGGAAACCATTAAGTATCATTCTAAAGAGCTTAAAATTTGCATTTGTAAACTAAAGATGGTTGGCTTTCCTCATGGGGCTCATTTTAAATTCTTTTCCTGTGTGTTCACTAAGTTGTCCATCCTGAGTGATGACGTCAGTCAGTGTCTTCATTTAAGATCTAAGCTCAGCTTCTAGGAGCCTGTGCGGATGGTCTGTGCCATTACAAAGACAGTTCCTAAAAGGTAGGCTTGAATCTCATTTGAGAAAAAATGCAGTTTCACACAGTACTGGCATGGAGAGTTTGTGGCTATTGATATAAAACAATGATAGTTGCCAAAATTGAGAGAAATATTAAAGAAATGTTTCCATGGTAACAACTTCCTGCAGAAAATGTGATCCGGCCTTCAACTGCTGGATAAATTAGTTTCATTTTTGAGATATATTGAGAAACCACGTTGATATCTTGGTCACCTAGAAAAATACAGACATTATTTTAATTACAGAGGAGGTATCAAGTAACTAAAGACCTTTCTAATTACAATTGGGAAGATAATCCTTTCATCTGCAGAGATAAAGTGTCACAGAAAAAAAGTAATTATCACAGTTCAAAGAATTTGGTTGCTTTCTTGTGTACCAGGTGTGAATGTGCCCATTGGTTACTATTGGATAATTGCGGGAACAGTAAGTTCTGAGATGACTCAAGAAAGAGGTTGTTGACATAATTGCCTTGAAACCACTCCAGAACAAGGGCCCAAAGGAGCTGGGTCAAGAGAAAATAGTTGAGACATGTAAGTGGCTTCCTTTTGCTTGCCTGCTCCAGAATAATTTTCACAAAATTGCTGGAGAGGCAATGGAGACTTCATTTCCAAAAGAGGAAAGCTGATAAAGAAATACTAATCACCTGTAACTATAACACACACATAGGAACCTGACAAAGCTTAATTTTAAAAATACCACTCTATAAATTGTATATCTCATAAGGGGTTCATATTAAAAATATATATAGAACTCATATGACTCAGTAAAAAAAATTTTTGAGTAAAATTGGGCAGAAGATTTGAATAGACATTTTTCCAGAGAAGACACAGATGGCCAATAGGCACAAGGAAAGATGCTCAGTATCACTAATCATCATGGAAATATCAATCAAAACCACAATAAGGTATCACTTGACACCTGTTAGAATGGCTATCGTCAAAAAGACAAAGTGTCAGCGAGGATGTGGAAAAGGGAAGACTTTTGCATTATTGGTGGGGATAGAAATTGGCAAACCACTATGGAAACCTTCCCTCAAAATATTAAAAAATAAACTCAACAACAGTAATTTTAAAAAAATTAAATTTAAAAAATTGCTAAGAGCAAAAAAGAAATTAAAAAACGCAACAGCCCTATGATTCAGCAATTCCACTTCCAAGTATTTATCCAAAGAAAACAAAAACACTAACTCGAAGAATATGCACTTCTCCATGCACAATGCATTATTTTCAACCTAAGTGTCAACCTAAGATAAACAACCTAAGTATCCACCAATGGATAAATGGATAAAGAAACTGTGACATGTAAACACACACACACACACACACACACACACACACAAATAAATAATGTATGCATACACATGGTGGGGCAAAGATAGGTTTACAGTTTTTTGTATGGAAAAATGATACAATAACAATAATACAAGAATAAACTGTCTCAAAACATACAACTGTAAACCTATTTTTGCCCCACTCTGTGTATATGCACTTCAGCCATAAAAAAATAAAATCTTTCCATTTGGGAAACTATGGATGGATCCTGAGTGCCTTATGTTAAGTGAAGTAAGTCAAAAAAGACAAAAACCATATGATTTCACTTATAAGTGGGATTCAACAACAAAACCAACCTAAGAGATACTGAGAACAGACTGGTGGTTACCACAGGCAGGGGGGTGATGGGTGGGGGAAATGGGTAAAGGGGATCAAAAGGTACAAACTTCCAGTTATAAAGTAAGTCTTGAGAATGTAAGGTACAATATGGGGACTATAGATGATATTGCATTGTATGTTGAAAGTTGCTATGAGAGTAGATTGTTGAAAGTCCTCATCACAAGAAAAATATGTTTTTGTAGTTATGTATGGTGATGGATATTAACTGGACTTACTGTGGTGATTTCACAATGTATATACAAAGATCAGCCAATTATGTTGTATACCTGAAACTTATGCCAATAAAATCTCAATCGAAAAATATTACTCTACTACTTAAAAAAAGAACTCCTCTCTGTTCTCACCCCTGGGTATACATGAGAATTGCTGGAAGAAGCTTTTCTCCCAGCCCAATTAAACTAAAATATCTTAAAAGTTGAGGCCAAGGTATTGGTATTTAATTCATAATGCTCCATAGTGATTCTAATGTGTAGCCAGGGTTGAGAAACGTTAGGGCCAAGGCTTCCCGAGCCTTCATTGTGAGTTCCTCCTCTCAACACCCAGCAGTCTGGGCTTGGGTGCTGCACAGCCATCTCCCTCTTTGTCTCATGGGGAACTGATGGCTGTGGGACTAGAGAGAACACCTTGTTAAGCTTGCCTTTACATCTTTATCACGGAATGGACAGAAGTAGCTAGTGCCTTTTTCCCCAGGAAGGGATGCCTCCTTTGTCCCGACTCTGCTCTCCGCTCTTCTTGGATAAGTGGCTAGAATGGTAGGTCTACCATAGTAAGGCTGAGGAGGAAGCCAGCTGAGCTCCATCCCAAAGATTCAGAGAAGCTTGCATGTGTTTTCTGCCCTGGAGAACAGGAAGGGGTGGTATATTCTCTCAGTGGACTTTATGCACATGATGTGGTTCTCATATGGCTTTTTAAAAGGTTAGGGCCTTATGACCCTCAATGCTGACAAAAATATTGACTAGGTCAAGTGTGGTTCCCATCATTTGCTCCACCAATGCCCTGTGCTGAAAGGGTGGGGTTGTATCACACTAAAAGCTCCTTTAAGTTGAGATGATTTACTATGATGATTTTCCACATTCAACCTAAAGTCCTAGAGGTACGCTTTTTTCTGTAAGTGCAAAGTTCATCTTTCACAAATTAAACAGCTGTTTATATGTACATAAAAGAGTTTTAAAACATTTTGGATTTAAAAGTGTGTTTTCTCTGGGTTTGGATGGATGGGCATGTGTGCTGGGAAAGGACAAGACACATGTTCCCATGGACAGGAGGGAGTCGGCTGTCTGGGGCAGGACCTAGTTTCTGGCTTCACCGTCCTGGAAGCACAAGTAGTTCCCCTCTTCAGACCAGGACAGTTGTTGCTGAGTACCTTTGGGACATGGAGAGGAATAGGCACTTGTGCTTACCTGAGTTGTGTTGTAATACCTCTTCTTTTATCATCTGGTATCCATCTCCACCGTTGGCAAGGAAGTTTGGGAGGACCACGTTATACACCTCGTCTGTTCTGAGAGGCTCGTAACTGGGCACTCGACACCGGGTGCAAAGAACATCTAATTTGACCACCCTGTCCCCCGGGTTTCGGGAAAGATCATACACCACGTGAATTCCTAGAAATGAAATGAGTCTGTATGTTTTCACTGGATCCAAATGGAAATTTCTGTTTTCTAAGAAAGATTTTGGTCAAAACCTAGAATTGGGGTACCGGGCTTAGTTTTTATTTAGTTTGAGCTTGAGTGGAATTTCAGCAAGAGAGTTGAGGTGACATTGCAGTTCCCTTTCTTGGTTAGGCTGAGTCCTCCTGGGAGGCCTGAGAACCACAGGGAGAAAAGTGGGCTCTGGCCCGGAATGGGTAAGGAGCTACTCTGTGGGGAGAAACCACATCTTTTAAAAATCATGAATAAATTGGTCCAGTAACTCAGTTCAGCAGCCTTTAAAAATGAGGTATAGATGAGAGGTGGCGAATGTTTTGAACACTACAAAATGGTAATTTGGACGTGGGCGACTTCCACAAAACATCCAACTACCCAGCACCATGTTGGAGCGTCAAAGCCTGGCTGTTCCCTCCACTCTCTCCTGCAAAAATGCAGAATGTCTGGCTACCCCACAGAAGGCCCGAGCCCGACCACGTTCTGCAGCCCCTCAGTCTCAACAGGGTTCTGCAGAGGGAGAACCCCACAAAGCCATCATCCCCATTGAGTGGGGGCCTACCATCTACAGGTAAAGAACTGAGGGCATGATACGGTTTTGGAGTCAAATAAGAATAATAATTTAAAGGTTAATTCATTGGACTGTGGAATTATTGACAAAAGCATTTCAGAAGTCCTTGGCAATTTGGGAAGCATTTATTTTCATTGTTTTCACTGAAATCTGTGAGATGAGCAGGGCGGGTTTTCTCTGCATTCAGGGAGGGTGAAGACCTGCCCCAGGTCATGGTGGAATCTGGACCATTGTGGGGGTGAGGCCAGGGTTGTAGCCCTGCTCTGCCCAATTTGAACCCCTTTGCTTCAATAGTCAGGTATGTCTATGCAGCAGGCTGCCCCTCCCAGAAATCATTCGTGTTACTGACTGATGGACACTGCACGCCTGCCTTTGAACTGTTGCATGGTTCCAGACGATTATGACTAGAACACAGGGATTTTTTTAAAAAAGTGTATTGAATGTTTAAACAAGATTTTAATAGAAATGATTTCAATGCAGTTGACCTGCTTAGAGTTGAGAAGGCCCATCTGATGTCCAAATGAGACTTGGCAAATGCTGCTCATTGCCAGGGACTTGCCTAATCTCAGTGGTCTGGGAGTCTATGGCCACTTGGAAGACTATGCACTGATGTTGGCTTGTGGAAAACCTAAGCAAGCTTAGCCACAGAGGTCCTGGTGAAGAGGGAGCTATGGCAACTAGCCGGAAATTCCACCTCACCTAGAAGGGTGACTTACCGCCCACCTGCAGGAACTCTCCAGTAGACTGGCCGTAGCGGTGCACACTGTGCTCAAAAGCCTTCTTCAGGGTGGAGCCTTTCAATTGGACCAGGTCAAAGGTGCCTCCAAAGGGTAACACAGCAGCCAAGCTCTCCCATGTAATTGTGCCTGAGGGTAGTCACAGATGAGGCAAGAAGGACAATATCTTGAGAACAAGCTTACCCTCAAACCAATTTTCTTTAGGACTAGGGGAGGAGGGGAGGGGGCTATGGCGCCATGGGAGGCTATTACATCAGCATTGGCTGTGCCTAAGTACCTCCTGATACTTCAGGAGGGAATAGATCCCAAGAGGCCTTTGCCCGTGCTCTCTACCACTGAGCAAGACAGGCAGGAGCTTATAAATGGCTGTGGCTCCAAAGTGACCTGTGCCCTGCCCTGGATCTCCTGGCTTGAGGTGGGATCTTCAGTGGGTGTTACGCATTGCTCAGGCCCTCCAGACAGGCAGTATGCCCCTGCTGCCTGTGCCTGACTGCAACAATGAGATAAGCATGGGGCTTCCACCAGCACTGACTGGTTTTGACAATGTATCAGGGAAGACAGCAAGAACATCTTGAGTATCTGTCTAGTTGGTTTATTCCATCATATAACATAATCCTGGATATCTGTAAATGCACTAAAAGGATTTAATCCAGTAGTATGTTTTCCAATACAGAAGACAATTTTGCCTTTCTCTTTCCAGAGATCAGGGTGGAGGCTGTCAATGTTTTGCATAAATCAGCAACAATTCCTATTTAACTTTGTGAGTCAGAAGTTTAGATCAGGCTTGGGTTCCACTAACCCTAGCCTGCTGCTGCTGTGTGCAAATACACAGGAGAACTCACATGTACGGGTGTGCCCTTTGGGCAAGGCACTGACTTGAGTAGTGGTTAACTCAAACTGAAGGGACCGACATTGTGGTACATGGCTGGCAGCAGGGATCAGCTGAGGCTGCCCATGTGCATGGGCAGAGAAAGGACACTGAGCTGAGGACCCTGGGCCTGGGGAGCATACCATTGTTCCGCTCGTCGATGGGAGACCGGATGCCACCACCATTTAAAATGCACATGGACACGTGGTTCCAGGACATTTCATCCAAGTGTTTAAGGTTGTTGTTAATCTGCAACAGCGGTATGAATTTGCATTACTTATTCTGAGTCTTCTTCCTCAGGATCAGTTCTAGGAATTCGGTTGGCTCTACTGAGGAAATAAAACTGCTTTCCCCTACTCCTATGTTCCCGGAGATTTCTCAAGTATAGTTAGAACTAGTTTTATGCTCTGAGAAGCGAAAATAAGATACTGTGGCCTGTCCCATGCTCTGAGCCCCCACTCCTAAGACGACTGTGATCTCAGTGGTCCTCAGCAAAACTGGCTTTTCTGGGGTCAGGATGGGGCCTCTGTGCCAAGTGGCCTGCAGTGCTGCTCCTCCAGGGGAAGGACCTGAAAGCCTTTCAACTCCAGGCCTCAGGCCAACAAGAAGCCTGGTCTTGCCCTGACTGGTGTGGCTCAATTGGTTGGGTATCGTCCTGAAAAGCAAAGGGTGTCTAGTTCGACTCCTGGTCAGGGCACATGCCTACATTGTGGGTTTCAATCCCCGTTCGGGGCATGTGCGAGAGGCAACCAATCAATGTTTCTCCTTTACATTGATGTTTCTCTCCCTCTCTCTCCCCCTCCCTCCCCTGTCTATAAATATAAATAAGTAAAATCTTTAAAAATGACAAGCAAACAAAACACCCCTGGCTTCAGGTCTGGGTCCACAGGCAGTTCACAAACAGGCAATTTTGAAGGCACAGAGACAGCCTCCTGAAACTGGGGAGAATTAGTTGCATTCTTTCTTTTATTTTACAAAATATATGTTTGCTTACAAGAAATAAAATGAATATGTTCTCATCTGGAAAAAAAATAGTGAAAACCAAACATTTTCTTACACTTGCCCCAGTCTATTAACAGAGAGGTAAGTACTCGTATAGCCTGGGGGGTTTCCTCTGGGACCTTTCTCTAAACATCCACACTCACTGGTGTCTTTAGCTACTTCTCTTGCAGCATCAGTCTTACCATGGAAAGCATGAATATTGTCATTTTTTTACTTGACAGACATTTACTGAGTGTGGGTGGCAATGTCCCAGGCACCGTGCAGAGCACAGACCAAGAAACCACCCCTTGGGTATGGGCTTTGAGTCTGACTTGGGAGACTTCGGCTCAGCACAGCCCCCAGAGGGCTGCCGCCCTGGTCTTCCCACAGGCAGGTGGATGGCGGGGTGCTTTTCTTGGCTGGCGTTGCTTAGCCACAGAACTTATCATTATCACTATAAATGTGTGTTGTCATTCTCTGCTTATGAAGGAGGTTCCAGTCATACAAGGCTAGTTGTCTGGTGCCAAGTTAAGCCCAAGTAGATGTGTTTTATGTCTATGTCTTCAGAGTAGTAGAGTTTGTGTATTCAGATCACCTTACAGGAAAAGCAAACCCAAAATTCAGACATCCAGAAATGAACACCTTAAATAAAGGCCTCAGTTCTTGCATATCAACTGAGTGATGGTCAGCTGGTCTAGTTCCTGTACCTTCCCAAGGTGCTCAGTATGAATCCATGCCAAGCTGTAATCTGGGCATTAATTTCTTTCTAAATGCTCAATTCTGTAACTATCAGGTTGTCCTCACCTGCCTCTTTCCTCCCTCTTTGCTTCTCTCCCTCTTTCTCCCTAGGTCTAGGCCCTGCATCCCTGTGGACCACTCACCATAGCATCACAAATCAGGTTGCCCATGTTGCATTCTTTAAAGCGGCATGATTGAGTGGAGCCATCCAGGTAGACAATTGTTTTCCCCAATTCCTGGGAAGAATAATTATCTAATTTTATCCGCCATTTGTTGATGTCTGCTTTTATGTTTGGATCTAGAAGAAAGCAAAATAAACAACAACAAAAAACATCAGGCTGCTGTTAAAGCCCATCTCACACTGGCCTAAATTTCGAAGAAAGAATCAAGCATCATTTAGGCTACTTGTGTGAGTATACATTTCTTTAGCATATTTCTGTACATTTTGGTTTTGACTATAAAGTTTCCTTAGGGCCTCTATTCTATTTCCTGGTACTAAGACCCAGCATGGACTCTAATTGGAAGACATGCTTAGGATCTGAACACCAATTCATCACATCTGTGCGAGGTGCCTGTTGGCCCACCTGGGATGGCACTGGCGGTGTGCGGGGCGATGAAAGGCCCGAGGGCAAGTACAAAGGGCCTGCTGAGGTCCTGCTGTCTGCATGGCCCCTGCCCCTCCCTCTGGCTCTTGAGAGGTCTGTGTTGAGACCATCGTCTTTCAGGGCCCCTCACTGTCCATCCTTCCCTGGCCTGATCATCCTAAGCAGTAAATGGCAGGTGAGGAGATACGTAGGAGTGTGTTTGTGTATACTATATGAAAATGGATGACATGAAATGTGTAATTTACTCTACGTCCCAACCAAGAAGGGAGAAGGACACTCCCTCATTTGATAAAGAAAATGAAGCCCATGAGGCTGGGCAATTTGCCCCAGGTGCACTGCTGCTGGGGGTGGGGCCAGGGCTGGAGCCCCGCTCTGCCCAGTGTGAACCCCTGTGCATCGATCATCAGCTCTCTTCTGGGTATGAGCTCAGAGTGGCCTTCCCATGCCAGGGCAAAGCTTGTAAGGGCGTGAGAGGCAGGGACAGTGTCTGATGCTGAAAGGACTTGAAGAAGCCAATGGGGATTTGTGGCATCTGGGTGTGTTTTAAATCTATTTATCCACGAAAACAATAAACTCAGAGAAACTCAATTCTTCAAAAGTATTACAGTCTTGTCCTGAAATATTAACACACACACACACACACACACACACACACACACACGGAGAAAAAATTCACCCATCTAATTTTTGGATTGGTGAACATTACCCTGTACGTCACATACCTTCAGGAATGCTGCTGTTGAGAAGAATGGGATTTCCATGTGAAGTGATGACATTCCCTTTTGCATCAAACTCAACCTTCAAATAGCCTAAGTATTTGCCAAAAGCATAGGCCTGGACCACAGGAACCTTCCGTCCATCATCGGAGGTGACGATGAATGGGTAGTTCCCAGCCGGCACCTCTTTGGAAGGTGGGTTGCCTAAAATAAAAGGGCCAAAGCTGATCAAGTCAGCCCTCATACATGGCTGACTGCAGGCCAGCGGGCCACTGGCCAGATGACACTGAACTCCGAACTGATGACGTGCCAGCGGCTGCTCTGCACAGCTGGTCTTTCGGAGCCCCGCTCAGGCACCTGCCCATGTTTCCAAATGCCCTTTTGCAAACGAATCCTTCCACTCACGACTCTCAGCAGGCATTTGCTAAACTCTTCCTGAGTCCAGAGCACTGCGCCTGGTTGCTGTGGGGGACACAAACGTGCAATACTGCTCAGATTGTCCTGCTTCCTTCATCCTGACCCCGGCCCCATTCTCACTGGCCAGGTATAGCCACTTCACTGTACTTCAGTTTCCTCCCCTGTGAAATGGGTGAAATAATTCTTACTTCATAGAGCTGCTGAGGCAATTAAATGACTAAACTCCCTAGCATAGTGCATGGCACATGGTAGGTACTCAATAAATGTACATTTCCTTCTCTCATGAGGTGATGGCAACCCTCTGGAAACGCTAGACACATGCTTTCAGAGCTTAGAATCTTCAATGAAACACGAACAGAAATGACAAAGGGCTGTTTTCAGGTTTTGCTACTAAATCTTCTGTCCCTTCAGGTGACTTCTGGAATAGCCACATTCACCCGGCTGGCCAGCTAGCGCACATACACACTACCCGCCCCAGGCAGACCTCCCAAGTGCGGTTCTGCTGACTTCCATCTGAAAGGGAACCCCTGGAGGGTGCGTCCACCCACTCATCACCCAGAGGCTGAGGCCCACCCCGCTACTGTGTCCTGGTCACGTGACTGCACGAGGGTGGGGAACCTGGCCACGCAGAGCCTGGGCCCTGGCCTCTCCTCACCTGGTATGCATCAGTTCTGTAACTGCACCCCTCCTTCAAGCATGCTGCAGTTCATATCTGATCTCCTCAGAGACAATGACCTACTTGGGTTGTTTTGATAGAAAAGATACCCTTGACCTGCTACTGTTTCTATCACCTGCCTCCCTGCAGCCACGAGCAGTCCTTCCAATTGGATATTTAGAGGGCCCAGGGAACTTCAGCGTGGGTTGCTTACTCACCTGACCCAGTTATTAGGGTCAGCTAAGAGCCAGGCCTGGGCTATATCTCGTTTAATCCTCCAAGAATCTCATGAGGCAGATCCTATTATTATCCCCAGTTTTCAGACTAGAAGACTGAGTATCATAGGCAATGTGTCCAAGGTCACACTGCTGGTATGTGAAGCAGGGCACATTGAAAAGCGGGGCTGTGAGACCCAGGAACTTATGTCCTCTTCACTACCCAACACAGCCTACGATGTGCTGTTCTCATAAAGCCTGCAAGAGCTGGCTGCCGAAGGCCACTTACCAAGTCAGATGCAAGCCTAGGGCAGCACTGCGGTAGAGACAAGGCTGCTTCGAGGCTTGTTTCTACACCTGAGACAAGTACAGTGAATGTTATGGAACCGCCACCCTCCCCCGCCCCAGCCTCGCTCTGCTCCTGTGCCAAGGGCAGCCTCCTCCAGCTCAATAACCACAGAGCAGAAGTGCTGCAAATGCCAGCACTTTACAAGCAGGAAGCGCTGCTGCCAATCTTAATTTCCTATTTTCTCACTGCCTCTGGAAAAAAAAAAAGAAAAAGAAAAAAGTCTTTTAACTTTATTCTTACAAAAGCACCTGACTTGAGAGGCAGTGCAGGCCTTGTCCCATCTCCATATGCAATGTACAGCTTTATGGGCTATGACCGCTGTAGATGATCTGAAGCACTGCGCAGTGGCAGGGGAGATTACATTCGCATCCTCCTCCTTCTTTTCTATGCTGGTCCTCCTCTGGGCAAGCCTGGAACCTGCTTTTTACTTCAGGGGACCAGAGGACTAGGGGACCAGCTGGGGAGGGTGACAGTAGGTGGTGGTTCTCTGAACTCAGGGAGGCTTGGGGAGGTGCAGTTCCCAACATAACCACAAGGTGGTGCAGAACACACGCCCAGGAAGACACAGCACGAAATTAGTTTCAGAAAGGAAGTCGGGCAGTTTCCTGGAAACCCAAGAGAAGGAGGAGCCTTACTTTTTTTAGCCTGTCTTTTTCTGCCTTCCATAGACATATTGGAACTTGAACAGAATGTAAAAGCTAGAAATGTGACGATTGGTCAAATTCCTCAATCAGATCAGCGCACACTCTACAAACAGGAGCTAGGAATCCCAGCTCCCATCTGGCAGGGAACACCCTCCAGAACTGAAAGTTCGTGATGTTCCTTAGAAAAGGACATGTTATGTGTGCCTGAAATGGACTTAATCAGGTACCAGGATGATACATTCCATGTGGCTCATCCCTGCCTTCTCCACAGCTGAGCCCTCTCTGCTCCCTTTCAAGTTGGCAACCCCAGAAACCACAGGCAGAGAAACAACCCAGGGCTTCAGATTTTCCACACCATTCTATCTTCTGCCAAAGATGCTCACATTCCACATATTCTCTCCACACGGAGACACATATCTGTCTTTAGAAACCCAGCTTGTCATCTTGGCAGGAGAGAAGTTATTTGCCAGCACTCTTTATCAAAGATACCCCTGGCAAACCATCCTCCCTGCATTTCAGCAATCTTAGCTCCTCTCATTCCTCCACCACACCCACCTCCACAGCCTTCAAAGAAAGAGTGAGACCTGGAGCTGGAGACCTACATGCGAATTACATCGTCTTCCTTGCGTTTATGCATAAATAAAATGAAAGTAACGAGACCTGCCTTACAGGGTTGTTGGGAGGATTAAAGAATATAACAAATGAAGCCCTATTTAGGTAAATGCTCAATAAAGATTAGAGATTATTATGTATCAAGTTAACTCTTGAATGTCTTTCTGATCTTAGCCCAAACGTCATTTCTTCGGGAGAATACCCTCTGATGATCCTCCAGACTTGGTCAGGTCCGTCTATACAAGGCAGGGCAAAAGTAGCTTTACAGTTGTTCATATTTAACATAGTACAGTAACTGATATATAATAGTACAAGAATAAACTCTGTTTCATGTACTCACAACTGTAAACCTACTTTTTGCCCCAGTCTGTAAATGCTCTTACGGCATCTTTTACTTCTCCCTTCATAGGACATTTTGCAAGGACATGTTGTAGGGGTTCTGAATGAGTCACCCCAAGATGTGCCTCTGTAGCATGGGGATTATTTTGAGCTAAAGGCAATTGAGATCTTCTGGGTTCAAGAGAAACTTCTGTCCCTCCCCTAACGACCTAGAAGAGTTTGAATTAGTGGCCTTGCCCAAAGTAAGAGATTATCAGAGATAACCTTAAATTAACCTATCTACGGGGCAGGGCAAACTTCTAATTACTGAACATTTGCTCTTCTTATCATCCTGAGAATGACTGTTCTCCCCCAAGGTGCCTTACCCCGCCTTTAGCTCAGAATGTCACATATACCCATGTTTCCTTTCTGCCTCTGAACCTTTCATGTAGGTAGGGTCTCTGACTCTCTCATATATGTGTGGTGCCCATGTGTACACATTAATTAAATTTGGTTATTTTTCTCTTGTTAATCTGTCTCATGTAGATGTAATTAGGCCAGTTGAAAGAAGCTTGAAGGTAAAAAAAAACGTTTCTTCATCCCCTATGATATAATGTGATTGATCTATTTGTGTGTTTTAAGAGGAATCCGATCAGGGTCAGTATGGAGGAGAGGCTATTCCACGGCTGGACCCCCCAGCGAGATCCAGGCCAGATGAGGTGGCTTCCTGTAAATCCCATCAGAGACTGTCTGATTGACCCCTCTCCCATGTACCAAGCATGCAGGTTCCTGGCACAGGATGTTAGCCTCCCCCAGGCAAACATGCAAGTCACTGTCCCTTATCTGAAGCAGGTGACTCCTCGGTGCCCTTCTCGGTCTTGCATCTGTGTAACTCCCTACCACCTGCCACGTTGCACTGGGGACACCCACATCATCCCGCCACTGCCCAGGACGTTTCCCTCTTATGTAAGTTTCCTTAATAAACATTCTTGATATGATAATGGAATTGTAACTTCTTTCTTTGGTCTCTCAGCCCTGGGGAATTTTATTTAACAGGCAGCATCTCTTTTAAAACAGTAAGTTCCATGAGTGCAATGTCTGCGGCGTCTCTGGAGTGTGCCTAGCACATAGTAGAAGGTTGATACAAGTTTATTGAATGACTAAGCTTAAGCAATTTAGCCAACACTTTTCTATAGATCAGACAAGATTTTTATGCTCTTCCTGTGGTGGCATCCGTTTGTAGAGAGGAGCAATGCTTGTGTGCCCACCCCAAGTCCCCTTAATTCAACTTCCCCAGCTAATGAACTGGTGGGGCTCCCAAAGCAGGATAGGAGTTGAGAGTCAAGAGAGTGGGTTTGCTGCTAACTCAGTTTCAACCTGGTTTCATGACCTTGGAGAGACAATGAGCTCCTACAGCCTAAATATATTACCTAAGTTTGTAAAATGAGAGATTTGATTAGTGGTTTAAACCAAAAATGGTTTAACCTTTGTTGTTGTTGTTGTTGTTGTTTGTCTGTTTTAAAGCTCTGAGCATGTTTTGCACACAGGAAATTTAGTGGCAATGTGAGCCATAAAGTAGGCTGCTCAGGTCATGACGCGTGAGGTGGTGCTGGTGCTGGAGCCCAGCTTTAGGCGCCGTGCCGCGGCGCTCTTCAGGGCACAGCATGGAGACTGCTGGCCTAGATGCTCTCCGCACCCAGCCAGTAAGGCCAGCTGCCATGTCCCCAACCTCTGGTACAGGAGCAGCTCCAGCTGTCCAGGGCTCCCTCCCATCTTCACAACAGAGTTAAGAGGTGGCTGGCAACCGAAGAGCTGAGTCATGGTCTCCCCGGCCATCCCCGTACCCAGCCATGGTGCACCCACTGTCGCGTCTCCTCTTGTTTTGCACATTCATTGACTTACTGCTCAGATTCTTGCTCTTAGGCATTCAGTGACGACTGAGAGGTTGCAAAGAGGTTATGTTTCTCTGAGTAGTACCCAAGGAAGATGGTCTA